CCCCAAAACCCCAAAACCCCAAAACCCCAAAACCCCAGTGGTTCAACACAATATTGAATTAGTGGTTATAAATATGGTCCGCAATAGAATTAATTCTGAAATTATAAAGGTACAAGTTATTTGTTCATGAATAGGAGAAGCATCCTTGATGAGTATGCTTTGGATTTGGAAATAGGGAAATATTTGCGATGCTGGTCTAGGGGAGAGCGAATATTTGGACCCATTCTAAAGGTATTGCTCTCTCTTCTTTGCTGGGATTTACACTTAACATAGTATTTCTTCTTATCAAGGTTGACCTGGAGTCTCTCTGTTTTATGACAAGAGACGGAACCTTTATCTCTCTTAAGTTTGTTAGTGAACTGAAGAGATCTTGAAACTTGGTTTATTCCTCAGCTTTCATCCATCTCGTCATTCTCAATATCGGTCTGGTCGTGATCAAAAATATATTCTTTATCAACTTGGTCTAAATAGTAGGGTTAGACTAAAATTCATTGTTAGAGTTAAAACTACTTTTTATTAAGTCATTGAAATTTCTGAATTTAGGTAGATATTTCGAATAATTTCAATTTTAGATTAAATCATCTTATTTGAAAACTTTTGCAATATATCAAGGTTGGAAATGTCCGTCATTGGAAAGGAAAAGTAATCCTTAAAATCCAAAAATATAATTATAATCCAACTTGCATAAAGAAATAAGTTTTGATTCCTTAATTGACTTCAGACCCTTAACACCTTAAGACAATACTAATAAAAACTTAACTCTCTAAGTACACTCGAACTTTTATCACAAATATTTCCAAAATAAAATCTGGTTTAGGAAAATAGAGAGAAGTCATAAGAGTCTGGAACTCCCAATCATATGCCAATAGTATTAAAACTAGGAAAATCTTTATAATACTGAAGGGTTACCCTCCTTGTTTCTAATCAACCTCATTATTAAAAATAAAGAAAAATGATTTGTTATAAAATGAAGTTTAAAACAAGCTACTACATCATGGATCTGTGAAAAGTTTTGGAAAGAGTAGATCACCACTTTCCTTTTGTTGAAACTTGATAAATTTTGCAAGGAACTTTATTCAGAAGACACTTACCCATTTTCTTTGTAATTTGCCCAATATTTAATTAATAACCTGGGGTTTTGGGGTTTTGGGGTTTTGGGGTTTTGGGGTTTTGG